GGGCGCGGCTCTCCCGCATGGCCTGCGCCAGCCGCCGAGCCACGGCCAGTAAGTGGGACCGGTCACCGCGGGGCGGAGCGCGCTTCTCGGCTCTGTTTTCTTGCAGGACGGGTTAAAATGCGTCGACTTCTCGCAGCGTTTCAGCTGTGCGGCGTTTGGGTTGTGCTGTGCTCGCCTGTGGCCTTGCGGGTTGTTGATGAGGGAGAAAGGAGCCCTTTAAGAGGAAAGAAATGTAGTTACGTTTACCAGCATCTTGACGTGCTTTTAAGTTAATGTACTTTTTAAAAAAACTTTTCTTATAGCTGCTGCTTTCTCATATGTAAGCACAAAATACTTAAAATAGCCCATAAAATGTTGGGTTTTGGTCTTGAGTATGTCAAGTAAGTCTGTATTTGAGTACATCAAACTGTGTATTAGGAGAGCAAGGTTGGACCACATGTTGCTGCTTCTTGAAGCATTCGAATTTTGGCAAAAATTGGTCTTGCCCCATGTGGAAAAAATAAATGTAAAGGAGAGAAAATTAGCATGGAATTCTTCTGCTTGCAGAGCTGAGTAATTAGAGCTTTCTTGGACTTCCTTTGCAACAAAGTTGTCATTTGGTGTCCAAAACTCCCACTCCCTTCACAGCCGGTTACGTGCTGCAACTGTTGCTCTTGGCTGCAAGTGAAATCTTGGAGGAGAATACTGTTTGAAAAATCTCAATGTCACTGGCAGATATAATTAGAAGCTAAATAACCATTTGTTTTTCTTTTGCAGTGTCTCTGTTCGCTGTGGAAAGAAGCATAAGCTAGAAGAAGAGCTGGAAGGGTAAATTAAGTTTGTCTTTTGTAGCCTGAAAGACCTGAATTTGCTTTTTTGTGTTCTGTAAAGATTTGAGCGCGTCTCACCTACAGCGTACGCAGAAGGGAACTTCTTTCATGGCTTCCATGTGGAACTCTTCCCCTGGATTGCACAGGAGCCCAAGTCCGTTTCAGTTACCTACTTAACGGTGTGATTTTCATGCACGTGTACCCACATTTTAATAAGAGCCATGTGGATTTATTTTCTTAGTGGACGTTGAGTTTCCATAGTGTGTCAGATTAGGTTTTTCCCCCTGTAGAATGCCACGTTTCTCTTTTGACAACTGTGAACTTGTTTTATTTCCTAGTTGTCCTGTGCGGAAGAAGAGACTGACAGGAGCCAAAAATTGCCCTTTGAATCCCAGCGCTGAAGAGTGGATTCTCTGTGCAGGTCAGCAGGCAGCTGGGGAGGTAGCAAGTCAGTGTGGTGGCAGCGGTCCTGAACCTGCCATGTTAGAAATGCCCTGTGAAGAAATGGATCAGACAATGGGGGAACAGCAATGCGAGGTTGCTCGCAGGAAGCTTCAGGAAATTGAGGACAGGTAAATGCAGGGATTGAGTAGACCGGCTTTGCTGAGCTTTCCCTTTTTTGGGTGGGCTTTAAGGGGTAAATCTAGCACTTAGCAGTGCGATAACGCTACTGTAAGTCTGAGATGAACCTTCTGTTCAAGTTTGGTTTGGTTTTAGGCTACCTATGGTCTGAAATTGAGGGTGCTAGAGCAAGAGATGTTGCATAAATCACCACCTTTTCACAATCACTGTGCAGCGTCAGTGGGGTTTGATGCTTTTTTATGAGTATTCACAGCTCCAATTTTAACTGGTATTACCTGGTCAGACTTGGGCTCAGCTTTTCTTCACCCAACTGCAGCTCGTTCTGTGATTAATACTTCTAAATGCGCGAGATGGATGTAAATTTGTCAGTGTAGAGAGGAGCACCAACGAGAGATCTCTCTCTGCACGTACACAATAAAACCGAGGTTCATCTTGCTGTTAAATACCAGATAGATTTGTACTGGGGTGATGGGGTGGCTGCGGGAAGTCTGTTACAATCATTTAATGAATGTGCTGTGCGTTCTTGCCTTTGAAAGATTTCTGGGATGTCACACGTATGTATCAGTTGATGGCAGTCGAGCTGATATTCCGAAATACCTAAAATGACCACTGCAGGCAGTTGTTAGAGAAGCTGAAAGTTAAATAAATGATAAAACAAGGTTTTTTTTTAGATGATTACTCCATAGATGATGCGTGAAGGGAAGCAAGGTACTGTTAGATTATTTTATTTTTTCATGGGTAAATCAGAGTAGTGATCTCTGTCTTTATTATCTGGCTGTATCTGCATTACAAAGTCTGCTTTGGACCTCTCGGAGGATTATTCCCCATCCTTCCCAGCTACTCTGTTAAATTTTCTTTGAAAAGTTTACCAAAAGCAAAGGAGTTAGTTCCAGTTTGTTCTGAATGCTTCAACTTTTTTGCCATTTTAATCTCTGAAAAATTGGTGCTAGAGGTTATGAACTGTATTCAGTAACTCTCAAAAGTTAAGCTACGGGGAATTGGGCAGGCGAAGCGAATCTCTTTATGTTCTCGGGGTGTATGCCTGCGTTGCGCACTGCTGGCCGATGCAGGGATCACAGAGCTAGCTCGGTTACCAGAAGTGGCTCCTGTGGTCACAGCAGGTTTTAGGGTGTATTGGCCCAAAAGAGACTCACGTGAGCATCGCCCCGCCGCTTCTGGTACCCAGGCTCGGTCCCATGTCTACACCGCGCGGCGCGGGGCGCGTAGATGTAACTGTCGTCCGCGGTGGATGTGCCTGTTAACAGTGTGCTCAATAGTGTTTATCTATCTCCCTCTTCCCCCTCCGTTCCTAGGATAATTGATGAAGATGAGGAAGTTCATGCTGATGGAAATGTTAGCAATCTGCCCACTCTTATCCTGTCAGATACCCTTAAAAAAGGGATGAAGAGGGATTTTGGTGAAGGCCTGACAAAGAAAATAATAGAATCTATGTAAGTGCTGGAGGAAATCGTTGGTGCTATGTAGCTAATGTGCAAATGAAAAGAGAGACCCAGTCTCGTGTTTGTGGAGATGTCCTTAATTACTGCATGATGCAGCCACCGTTGTGTAACAGCCCATTTGTCTGGTCAGACATGGGCAAAACTGTCCGAATGTAAAAGAGAAGTACGTGTAACTACAGTGGTCATCAAGCTGTGTTGTACTCCTGATCGGTACGGAGTGAAATTTGTTGTATAAATCAATTATATATGGAAAAAAGACGGTCCTGAAGTGTGACTGTCAGTGGTCACCGAGTTTGGTGCAAAAGGAAAGAAAGAAAGAAAGTACAAGGTTAGAGGTAGCAGTAATGGAACTAGTGAAGAAAGAGGGATGTAATAGGGGAAAAAAACAACCCCAACCAACCAAACCACCATGTATGGATTCTCAAATACAGTTCCAGGGTAGCACAAAGGCTGAAGGTACTCACTGGCCTTCTGCATTTAATAGTTGTGATTGGAGGACTTAAATTTAACTGAGACTCCATCCCTTCTAGGAGCCGTCCTTCTATGGAGCTGGTGCTTTGGAAACCTCTTCCCGAATTTCTGACAGATAAACTGAAGTCTGTTTCTGTGAAGAACTTCAAGCAGCAGAGCACAGAAGGGTGCCAGGACAAGCAGCCGACACCGAGAGCTGCTTTTGAGCCACAGACTGAGACATTCCCAGCCTCACAACAGACTGCCATGTCGCCAGGTCCCTACGCTGCTGTGGGGGTCTCGGGGTGCGCGGAAGAGGAGATGGAGTTGTAGGTGCCAGATTTGGGACTGGAAGTGGTGAGATTCTGATGAATTTTGTCACTGGTTTTTGATTCCCTCTTTCTTTCTGGTTTGATGTGTGAATCTGAAGTTTTATTACTTGGTTTTGGTTTTCCTGTTAACGATCACAAGAACGCAGATTGGCCAGACACAGCTTAAGGAAACTGAGAAAAAACCCCAAGATTTCTGTACTCTGGTCTGTTAAATATTCTTGTTTTTACTGAGAAGGTAATCAAAGGAACAAGGAAGTAGCTTTCCATCTTGCTTAATGGTGAAATATCCTCTTAATTGTCCTCGGTAAACTATAAAATCCAAATATTGAATGTAACTGTGGTTTCAGCCACATCTTTCACTTCCTGAACCAAAAAAAACTTTGGTGCACATACTATGCTTGGTCAGGTAGTTTAATCTGAATTACAAAAAGGTATGGAGAGGAAGAAATACTCTGGGGTCTAGTCACAGATAGAAAAGCGATTCCTATGGAAAGACAGCTTTTCACACTATTTCATCTGTGGCTGGTTTGTACTTGATGTAAATGTCAAAAATGCACATTGTGCAGCGTGGTAGGGAAGGAAAGTCATAGCTGAGCATAAACCTCTTGCTTTCTAGAAAGTGAAACCAGCTCCTGAGGTGCAGGATACCTGCTGGCTTCAGTCATCGCTGGTCCGTTGGCTCCTCTGTGGTGCTTGTGGGTTTTTGATGCCTCCCTCCCCAAATGATGCAAAGTCAGGAGAGAAGTGGCTGTCAGCCAATTGATTCACATTGTGCTGTGATTCTTTGTATGCATCGAGTTGGGAAGTCAGGTGAGGGCAGTGTAACTTCTGATGAAATAAATGGCATCATTGAATTTTGATAAGCATGGTAAGTACAGCAGATAACGGGGAGCCGCTTTCAAGCATAGGGAAGGTCAAACACCATCACCTGTCAGCAAGTCCCACACTTTGGGACTGCTGGCGGTGGTGGTGAAGTGAAGAAGGTGCTTCTCTTCTTCATTAGATGCTAGGGAATCTGGATGTAAAACGTAAGCCAGAGCACGTGCCACTGACACAACGTCACATAGTTTATACAGATGAACGCCAAAAGAATTCTGTGCCCTGCTCAGGGTGTTAAGGATCCTCAGTGAGTTATTGCTTGTACCTTTCCTCACTGCACAACAGTTCCATTATGCTCAAAACACCCAGACAAGGCAGATAATCTTACCTTCTGTTCCCAAGCCCTTGAGCTTTCTCTGAGATGTCTGAACTGAGGCTTTTCATAAGAAATTCCTTTCCAAGCAATAGGTTCTGTTCAGGGTCTCAGCATCCCAGGCTGGTTTTGACACCTTGCTAACATAAAGGAGCAAGTGCACAGCAATGCAGCTGTTTGCGTAAGAAAATCTGCTCTTTCTTTGCATGATCTCTGCGATGATATTTTTACCGTTGAATAACTCCTAGCTGATAGTTTAAAATCAAGCATCTCTTTTTGCAGTCATCCTTTCTTTTCTTTTGGCTGACGGCAGAAGCTTTGTTCAAAAGAAACCCCTATTTTGTTAAATCCTCTTGCTGCTTTTGTCGAAGGCTGTGTGAAATTTGCTGTCTCTTGCTAAAACACTTCAGAGCTTCACTAAAAACATTCCAGCATTGGAATAGGTATCACTCTGGAAACCCGTGTGTAACTTCAGCATTCTCGAACTTTTATGAAATTGGAGAACACGTGCAGCTTTATCTTGCTGTTCTCTCTCATTTCATTTCCAGGTTTGCCATAAATCTCTTGCATGTACTGGGTAAAATTTCTCCTGTATTATTAAGCTGCTGAATGTGCTTCAAATCTACAGCCTTTGACGTGCTACATTGCTGGAGTGTGAAGTGAAGCAGAGCAGCTTGGGGAAGGTTGGAGTCACTGTGAGCGGTGCCTCCAAAGAATTACCTGGTTTTAAGCTTGCAGGATGATAGTGAAAGCTCAAGGTTGGAACTGTTTTAGCTGATAGCTCTGAATCCTAAATAAAGCAAAAAGAAAGGATTAGCAAAAAAGAGATGAAACCATCTCAGCAACGCTAAAATTGCAACAGAGGATGTAGAAAAACTCTGGGAGTCCTAGATACATCAATTCTAGATGCAGTTTTCTTCCTCTTAAACTGCATCTCAAATTTGCAGAAGAAGAATTGTTTAAGCATGGTTTTGTCCTGTTCTGTTTGTACCAAAGTTTGACTTTCAGAGGTGTGTTTCCTCTCAGCCGTTTGATGCTAACACGGCATCACTGACCCGTTACTCTGCCATCTGAAACAAGAATACAGCGATGCGCTGTCGACAGAGACCATGAGATTGGGGTAAAAAAACTGTCCAGGAAATTTGCTTTGGTAGAAAAAGCTTTTTCATCATTCATTTCTGCCCTTGTGATAGAACAGGGTTGAATTGCTTGAGTTGATGGGGAAGAGTGGGGTAGAGCAGGAAT